AAGAAAAAAAAAGTTCACAAGTATTATACAAAACTGAACAAAATGAGTAAAATGTATATATCTATATATATTTGTTTATTTATATTAATTTTACAGGTGAAAAGTGGAACCTTGCCTTGAAAGAACAAGCGCCGTTTCAGTGGAGCTACAAACACATGACTTCCCTTCACCAATACAACTAATATCTGTATATTCATAAGGCAGCACTTACAATATGCAAAAAATCTCAGGTAAACAGTAGCTACTGTAGATGATACCATGTAGAGATGACATCTGAATGACAAGGAGAGTGTGTGGTGGTCGATACGTAGGATTCACTACTATGATATGAGGAAATGCAGATTGTACAAGTTTGCATAAATGGTTCTTAGCACTTGGCACTGAGCGTGCAGGGCCTGAAACGACTTTCAAAGCCTACGATACAGACCGCGATGAACAGAAAGCAGAGATCGATGAGGAATGTCTTCAAAAGATAAAGCCAGGAGGTCTGAACGTGAGCGCGCCGACTAAAAGGACAGGGCAAAGGGGAGGTGGAGCACCTGAAGAAGATAGGCATAGTTAGATCTACGGTTCTGCAGCAGAAAAAAACACCCATGTAGCAAAGATTCCGCTACCCTGCTCTTTTAAGGGATCCAATGATGAGAGCCTGACAAGCCAAGTTCTTCCTGAAGAACCTGAGACACGTTTTGATTTTTCGTGGAAAGCAAAATGGCATTTCACTTTGCGAAAATACATTCAGGGGGTATGAATTTTTTGTCTTCCTTTTTTTTCTTCTTCTTCCCAGAACATGATGCTATATTCCGATTTAAACATGGCCTCTTTCCTTGTAATTCATGTATAAAGTGCAAAATTAGATTGTATTCCTTGCAAGTTCCTGGTACATATAGGTTTTTTGTAAAAAACTTCATGTAAAATACAGCAAAAGTCTTACAAAGGTCAGTATAAGAAAATCCCCATAAACAAGAACATGTTCATCAAACGGTGAGGAGCAGTCCTCTATGCTGAAAATATGTACAAGAGGCACCTCAAATTTGGTATAAAGAATCCAGCTAAATAAAGTTTAAAGTTTAAATATCTAAGTATAGTTGCATCAGTATGGTTTTCTCGCTTTTTGCCCGAGTAGCTTGAAACCACTTGTTTCGAACTACAAATAATGTATATCCTTCCGAGTTAAAAAAAACAAAATAAGAGGAAAAACAGGAGATATTTGTTAGCATGCAATGCTAAAATACTGCATTCAAAGCAATAATCCGTTTTGAGTTGTCAGTTTTAAAACAAAAGCCAAATGCTTTTCATTTAACCTCTAAAGGTGCATAGCTAGCGGATAGAAATCTGTCTTCCTGAAAACAGTGACTAAAGTTCCTCCCGAAGAGGCATTTGCATGTTTGGTAGCTCAGTAGCAACGGGGGAACATCTGAAGAAACTCGCTACTGTACGTCTTTGAAAGTAATCAAACCAGCTAGGGGAATATATCCAGAAAGTAAAGACAAAATGGTAGTGTTATAAACATGACGTGATAAGGGACACCTATTCAGGAAAAACTCAATGCTACATTTTCCAATTGCATGAACCTTGCATATGATATGGATCTTTTAGTATCTTGAAGCTTTGGTCATATATCCGTTCTTGTCTCAAAAGTGTTTACACATGGCAAAAACTACATCAGGCAGTTAACGAAACCCGACTACAATAAGCCAGTGCTGTTCTCAAACCAAGGTTCCACTTTGTCAGAGCTGTTTAAACTTTGACAACAGAGAAATTAAATAATATGGCCTTTTTTTTTTTTTTAATTAACCCGTACAAAAGCCAGTCCATGCTGCTTCTCCCTCAGCAAAGTCACATTCAGCAGTCACTAAACCATTCTCACATATAGAGCAATCTCAACACCCACAGGAAAAGTTGCAGGTATTCCAAAAAAAAAAAAAGATAGAAAGAAAAAAAAGAAAATCAAAATCAGGACATTTGTCTGTTTTTCCATTTTAAACACCAGATATACAGTATTAATCACACACATACACTTTCAGACAGCCATACACATAAAAAAAAAAAAAAAGCAAAAAAAAAGTAAAGAATGGAAGCAAGTAGTTATTACCACAAACTCGGAGCACTACATTTTGTTGATTCTGAACAGATACATATTCACATTTATCTGTTATATACACAATACTTTGATAATCCAGGTTCTGAATCGTTCTATTGTACCTTGATGTTGTGTACTGACTGTGAGAGCCGTTATAAACAAGAAAACAAAACAATAAAAACAGTATTAATAGGTGCTGTTTGCTAGTTTGGTATATTTGGCATAAACACGGTCATGATGACAGGTAGGGTTCATTAAATGACTCTTATCCACTGCATAAAAAACATTTTTATCTATACAGGAATGCCCGTTCCCCAAAGAGAAGGGCAGAATTGATTAATTACGACATCTGTGTTTTTTCGGTGAGCCAAAAACGGGAAAAAACACAGACTGACTTAAATGACTTAAATGTTATGTATGCATCAATTCATCTCGCGTTTTGTAATGTCTATGTACATTTATATATAGCAGAAAGTGGCTTGATCTCAACAGTACATACTGCCGGCTGAATTTCATAGACGAATGAGAATCTGCTTTACGAAATTAGACATTTTTATATAGTGTCATGAACAAAAGAACACTGTTAAAAGAGAATGAAAATATGTGAGAGGAGAGACAGTCACGCATGCAACACGATTTCGAGCTGTGCTCCAATTATGTCGCACGATTTGTGAAATATCTCGTGCTCACACGGTGAGACATCAATTTCGACCACAGCAAGTCTTTTTGTTTTGATATCTTTGATTAAAAAAATAATTTGGTTTTCCATTAGTACGTTTCACGTAAACTAGCAAATGTTTAGGTTCGTAATCAATCAGGGATGACTAGTAGGTAAATGAACAAAGGATAACGCCGATGAACAGTGTCTGACTGGGCAACAGTAGTCTCATGAGCAGTCAAAGACCTGGAGAATGCAGCCGACGGTGCGTGAAACAACACCTCGCTCCTCCAGTCAGGAAGGAGCACCTGTGGTTTTGAAGAGCATCCTTAAAAAACACTCAACTGTATAATGAAAATCAATGTACAATGTACATTTTCGCACCTGCGTGCAATGCAACAGAGGGTTTGTAACATTTACCGGGGTGTTCGATAACCAATATCAATCGTAAAAATTCGAGTCTCTTGATATATGAGAGCGCTCGAGACACCCCTGGATGATTACTTTTTAAATAACAAAGTGACATTACAGATTCTCAAAGTCGATAAAAAGGAACTGGTGTTAAGTTGATGCGTTCGAAACAAGAATTGCCTGTAATTTGATGAGGTTTCATTTTTAAAGGAAATTACAAAGTGTGAGCTTGTCCTAACTTTGTCCGCTTGTGCTGTACAATAATACCAACCTGCACAACACGTCGCCGCAAACAACACTGATAGGCTGAGTTGACCCTAAGTGGCTCGTATTCACAGCTGCTGAGGGGGGAAATGTGTAGGACATTGTTAAAAAAATGTCTGCTGTATCAGAACAGTGCTGCCAGGAAAGCTTGCGGCAGACGGATACGCACTACAGAGCAGTCTCCCATCCTGGCGATGCTTGTTCTGAAAACGACAACAGAGAAAAACAAACAAACCAAAATAAAAAAATGACAACAAACAAAACAGATTAACAAATAAAAAGAGGTGGGAAATTCCTCCCATCAGGCACTGCTGAGGAGAACCTATCAGTCACAGATCCAGCTGAAACTGAGCAATATACCATGAATATAGCAACACCATGACAACAGCCAGCCCCAGTTTCCATTTCGACCAATCCAAGCTCAGCTGCTGCGCTGCTCTCCAAGAATTTTTTTTTTTTTTTTTTTTTTACAGACTTGGCAAATTCTGGAACGTGATATTTTCTCCTTTCCAGAAACAGACGTTTAAAAAGGTGATCAGGAATGAGCACTTTGTCGAACGGCTATGAAACCTCACAAGCCTGAGCCCAGACACTGACCCTGCAGATATACTGTATAGAAACCAAAGGTGAAGAATAAAAATCTCTACATGTGGAGACAGTCCTCTGGCAGACGGTGGGCGACTCACTCGGTCAGGAGCTGCTGGAGGAGGCTCTTCTGCTGAGACTGGGCTGTGGGGGTCCCGCTCGGGCCCTTCTGGGACCCGATGGGCCCAGACTGGTTAAGGTAGGAGTCACTTCCCACCAGGTTTACCGTGCACTGGACATCAGCGAACACCTGAACCTGCTGTACCTGAGAAATGGGAATGAATGGAAAAAGGAAAGACCGTCGTGTATGATTTTTTTTTTTTTTAAAGAAATTAATACTTTTATTCAGCAAGAATGCATTAAATTGAACAAAATGACAGTTAACATTTAGAATATTACAAAAGATTACTTAAAAAAAAAAAAAAGCTGTTCTTTTTAACTTTCTAGTCATCAAAGGATCCTGAAAAAAAATGTGTCATGGTTTTCACAAAAAATATTAAGCAGCACAACAGTTTCTAACATTGATGATAATAATAAGAAATGTTTTTTGAGCACCAAATCAGCATATTAAGAGTGATTAAGAGCTGTTTTTATGGCTTTTGAAATTACAGGAATAAATTACATCTTAAAATATATTAAAATACTGTTAAAAACTGTTAATAAAATAGTAATTATATTTCACAATATTATGTTTTACTGTAATTTTGATCAAATAAATGCAGCCTTAGTTAGCTTTTTTTTTTTAAATATTAAAAAAAGTCTTCCAGATCCCAAACTTTTGAATGGTAGTGTACAGTTATTATCATTAACCTTTTCAGTACTTGAAAAAATAAACATGAAGTGAAATAAAATAAAATATAAAAATAAACTTTTACTTTTTTTAACAGTGGTGCTTTTTTTTTTTTTTTTTTTTTTACAGACTTGGCAAATTCTGGAACGTGATATTTTCTCCTTTCCAGAAACAGACGTTTAAAAAGGTGATCAGGAATGAGCACTTTGTCGAACGGCTATGAAACCTCACAAGCCTGAGCCCAGACACTGACCCTGCAGATATACTGTATAGAAACCAAAGGTGAAGAATAAAAATCTCTACATGTGGAGACAGTCCTCTGGCAGACGGTGGGCGACTCACTCGGTCAGGAGCTGCTGGAGGAGGCTCTTCTGCTGAGACTGGGCTGTGGGGGTCCCGCTCGGGCCCTTCTGGGACCCGATGGGCCCAGACTGGTTAAGGTAGGAGTCACTTCCCACCAGGTTTACCGTGCACTGGACATCAGCGAACACCTGAACCTGCTGTACCTGAGAAATGGGAATGAATGGAAAAAGGAAAGACCGTCGTGTATGATTTTTTTTTTTTTTAAAGAAATTAATACTTTTATTCAGCAAGAATGCATTAAATTGAACAAAATGACAGTTAACATTTAGAATATTACAAAAGATTACTTAAAAAAAAAAAAAAGCTGTTCTTTTTAACTTTCTAGTCATCAAAGGATCCTGAAAAAAAATGTGTCATGGTTTTCACAAAAAATATTAAGCAGCACAACAGTTTCTAACATTGATGATAATAATAAGAAATGTTTTTTGAGCACCAAATCAGCATATTAAGAGTGATTAAGAGCTGTTTTTATGGCTTTTGAAATTACAGGAATAAATTACATCTTAAAATATATTAAAATACTGTTAAAAACTGTTAATAAAATAGTAATTATATTTCACAATATTATGTTTTACTGTAATTTTGATCAAATAAATGCAGCCTTAGTTAGCTTTTTTTTTTTAAATATTAAAAAAAGTCTTCCAGATCCCAAACTTTTGAATGGTAGTGTACAGTTATTATCATTAACCTTTTCAGTACTTGAAAAAATAAACATGAAGTGAAATAAAATAAAATATAAAAATAAACTTTTACTTTTTTTAACAGTTTACTTGAGCTTGTTGCCAACATTTCTAAATAAACTAAAAATAAAACTTAGTAAAAACTATCAAGACATATTTAAAAATGATGAAAAATTGAAATGAAAAAAAAAAAATTTAAAATTATTTAATTATTTAATTAAAGATTAAAATAATAGCAGAAAATATACAGAAAATATACAAAATTTTGAATCTAAAATCAAATTCAAAATATGAACAAAAACTATAATAGTATATCAATTATTCTAAAATAACACTGGTAGTGTAGTTTAACCAAAATTGTGCAATTACAATGAAATTACAAAAACTTTCAAGCTTCAATAAAAACAAAAAACAAACGAAACTTATTTCTTTACTCTTTTCCACAGAAGGAAAAAATAGTTACACACAATACACAGATTTAAAAATGGTATGAGGGTGAGTAAATGAAGACTCAATAAATAACCAATGACCATCTTACCTGATCGTTACACATTGAAGTGACGTTGCCAAGGTTATTGTTGCCCATGCCGACAGATGGTCCAATAGGAGGTAGAGTGCTCACCGCTCCTGACCCTCCAGCCATTGACACGGTGATGCTCATGTTGTTATACACGCCTTGCTGCCCAAAGCTCTGAGAGACAGGCTGGCCTGCCTGGTTATACATACTGACACAAAACAAGATGAAATGGTTTAAATGAAGATGAATACACAAACACAACAACAGAAAAACCAAATTGCATAGTTTTGTCACCTTTTGGTGATTGCTATCAAACACCATACCTGTTGTTGCCCATGGCCCCTTGCTGCCAATTCTTTATGTCAGGTGACTGATAACCAGGTGGAGGCTGCGCTTGCTGGAGCAGAGGACTCTGGGAGGTGGAGTTCTGAGGTGAAAGCAGGGGGCTGGTTGGACTAAGCTCAGGAGCGAAGGATGGATCTGCTTGCTGGATCATGCCTGTGAGAGAGTTGTGCATTGGCTCTTTTAGGCATCATGACAGAAGCATTAAAAGTTGTAATTATTTTTAATTGCATTTTTATATTTTCCATTGATCTTTTTTGTCATTTAAATTTTTTTTTTTTTAATGTCTACATAGTTTTCACAAGTTTTTACTTCAGCTTTAGTTTTAGTTAATTTAGTACATCAAGTAAACTAAATAAAAATGAGAAATGTTGCTTATCTGAAATAATATAAGTCTACATTTTAAAATATTTCAGTTCAATTTTATTTTATGGTTTAAGTTTTAGTTTGCTATAATAACCTGGGTGATGATAAATTAGTAGCTTACAAATGAGACATACCAGACCCCCCAAACTGCTGGAAAAGTCCCTGCTGAACAGGAGTGTTCACAGGCCCCCCAAATTGCCCTTGAATGCCTCCCATAATGCCTTGGTTTCCCATGCCCCCCCTGGTAGGTAGCGTGGGGTCCAGAGGTCCTCCCATGGGGTTAAAATGGCTCGGAGAGGTAGGGGTGTTCCCAGGCACGGCGTTATAGCCTGGAGAAAAACCGAACTGCTGCTGCTGTGGTGGCTGTTGCTGCTGGGGGCCCTTAGGAACTCGCTGAGCCCCCAGAGGTCCTGTGTTCATCCCCTGCCTCATCAGCAATACCTTCTGCTGCATAAGCTGCCGCTGGCGGTGCTGGAAACTATAAAGCTCCCGCTGCCGCTGGGCCATCATTTGAGCGTTGAGTGGAGGCTGTGAGAGAGAAGACGGGATTTCAGTTTCATTGACAGACACATACAGAAAAACAAACAATGATTGTGAAAGTAAAAATGCACAGATGCATCAATGACAATGAAAATGTTTTCTGTACAACTACAAAAATTCTAATAATATTAATATGAATCATTTTAGATTTTCATAAAAAATGCATTGATCTTGTAAATCTTGTAAATATATATATAATATAAAAAATACTAGTAGTATTATTTTTCTACCCATGTCCCAAAGCTCAGCTTTTGTATTAATACATAAATATATGTTTGAAAAATTATACATTTAATAAATAAATCGGTATAATAATTTAATTAAAAACTAATAAAAATAATATATTATCATATTTATAATAATAATAATAATAATAATGATGATGATTTGTATAATTTAAGTTATTACAAATATATCAACAAACAATATATAAAAAAAGACGCGTTAATATTTTTCTATCCATTTGACCTATTATGTTCCTCTCTCTCTCTCTATATTTATATATATTAGGGCTGCACGATAAATCGCATGCGATATTTAATGCGCATCTTGTCAGAAAGCCGGTTCTGTGTACTC